TGTTCCCCTTGACTGAATACCATGTGATTCCCCCCACCTAAAATCCTCCCTCTCCCCTCTCCCCTCCCCACCGGTTAACGATGACAGGTCAGTGGGTATCAACAATATTAAACCAATTTAGTGGATTGTTAATCTCTTGCATTGATGATAATATTACACCTGGAAAATAACAACCTGTCAGTTCACCGAAGCTCCCAAACATAATACTGTTAGTCTGTTTTGTTTCCCTTTGCTCGTTACTTTACTGCAGAGATTGGCTCTGAATGGATTGCGAGGCGATAAATGATCTCTGATGTCAGATCTATCTTGTACGTCTTACGTATTTGTAGCCTGCCGCTGTCGCTGAAAAAGAAAAGAAAAGAAATTTGAAAACACGCAATCAGTGACATAAATATTAATAAAATAGGTTGGAAAATTAACGTTTTAGTAGGAAACTCAGCATTAAAAAAAAAACGGCACGCTTTAACTGACTGAAGTTTGTGATAATACCTGCGTGTTTGTAGATGACAACTATAACAGCAGAGGAGAATGGGGTTTTTAGCGAAATAAAATGAAACTGGATATTACTGTTGGGAAGCTTTTTTTTCCGGATTTCTGTCCGAGTCAGGTTCTTCAGCCTGTTCCAGACGTTCAGTTAATAAAACGAAGCGGGATAAAAAACAGTGCCATAGAAGCGGAGGAGTCGCGTAATGCCCCAATCTCCAGATCCCTCGCTTTTTTTTAATCCACCTCTATTATCGCGCTCTTTACTTCTTCGCTCCATTTTTAACTCACTGAACGCCTCGAACAGGCCGCAAGTTATAGTTCTGTGCGTACAACTCTCTCTATTTTTAATCAATTCCTTTGTTCTCACCATGGCAGGTTCCTTTCTTTAATTTCTTCACTAATGTTTTGAGTTCAGAGAAGGTTCGTGAAGAGTACACGTCTCTGCCTGAGGAAATGGCCTCCAGACTTTTCCTATTGACCCGCTTTCCAATTCCAAGCGAAATGATGCGCACGCCCTTTTCTTTAAGAGGCTTTGAAGCTTCGGTAAGAATCTCGGTGTCTGACTTCCCGGAGTTCTTTTCAACTGTTTGCACCCCATCCGTCATTACGAGTGCCACCTAACAGAGTCAAATGTCAAACGTGTTAAATGACAAAGCAGATATTGATGCCATCGAAATGTGAACGAATCGAATTCAGTTGCTGTGGTGTGCTGTATAGCCTATGACGGGTTCTCTGTTTGTGGACGCATAAAATATGCTGGCGGGCCGGCGGGTGGTTAAGTGAAGATCTAGAACATAGGGGTCATTCTATAATTGTTTCTCTGACAACCGCAATACCGCTTTTCGTTAGCGCGCTCTTTCGCGCAGCTCACTTACTAAGAGCCTAGAGTGAGCTCGAACCGTCAAACCATAAGTTCGCCAAGAGATGCAAACTTCTGTACTAAATTCCGTCAAGTTTTTCTCTCTCTACAAAATATTGATTAAATGTTGATATTAGATAAATAACAGTGAATCTCAGGCAAGCACTGATATTCTTTAGTACAGAGACTGACGAAAATTTAAGATGTAAATAAGACACACCTGCAAGGATTTATTCTAGAAAATTAAGAAAAATGAGTAAAAAAAAAAACTCATCACAGACGACGGAAATGAAAATGGTGGAATTCTTGGGACATACACTCAGTACATTATGGTTGACTAGAATCTTTGAAGCAGAAGCTTTTTTGAAGCGTAATCAACAGGTTATTAGTGCTGGTCGCTTACTCCTTAAAATTAAAGCTCGATTGTGATCGTGATCGAGAATATATATATTTACCTTATCCACGTTATATCGCATGCCAGCGGCGTATGTGAAAACGTCTCGGTCTGCCATACGTAATGCTCTATCGATGTACGTGTACCCTCGTTTATGGGGCATGCTTTGAACCTTTTCCTTTACGTTTTGTCTGGTCAGATTTTTTCCAGACAAGTCATTGAAATGGAGCTGCACAGAAGCAGTGGTGCTGTACTCTATAATAGCTATATGGGTGTAATCTTCATCCACCTGAAAGCTATCCACCAGACCACGAATGAAATTTTGAAGAAGCTGAAAGTTTTTTCTGGAAATGCTGCCAGATGTGTCGGCGATGATAGCAAAGTCCAGAGGGATGTTGCAGCTCACTAAGAAAACAAAACAGCATAATAGGTGTAAACCCACTCAGAGTGCATAAAGGCATTTCCTACTTGTGGCAAGATGGTTGGTAAGCTGGGGTCCGCGTCGAGAGGTCCTGGTTCGAGACCTGGCCTAGTCATTGTGTTGTGTTTTTGAGCAACAACATTTTACTGTCACAGTGCCTCACTCCATGAAATGCTGGGGGTGGGGGGGGGAGGGGGGTAGCAGGAGGGAGTAGTAATACTCCTTGTCGCTTCATGTTATAAAAACCGGGATAAGCTCAGGCTGGATGAGCCGCTTATCTCGAGTGCAGATTCAACCTAAACATTAATTTTAGTTAAAGACGAACAGAGCCATAAGTCCCAGTAACTTGCTACTTATGTTCCTCAACTTTCTCTTTATAGTTTGCGGATAAAATATCTTCCATACTCACCTTCACAAGGTAACCACGCGGCACATGAGGCCGTTAATGTACCGTCTCCAACACAATATCTGCCTCCGTGCGAGGGAGGGGGGTTGTTGCATTGCCTTCTTCTTATTCTCCGCCCCAGGCCTCCACAAGTTTTTGAGCATGGACTCCAGCTGTCCCATCGGCCCCAGTTTCCATTTACTATTAAAATGAAAATCAAAACGAGGATATGTATTACATAGGTATTACATAGCTAATCAATGTTTGTGAGCCAACTGTGCAAAACGAATGTAAAATCGAGCTAAAAATGTCATGAAGGTTTTCTTCGGTTCCAATTTCGGTTACAGTGTTGAAGTAATAAACTCATATTCTAAAATATGAGTTTCCTTGATGTGTCGATGACAAAGTGATAAAAAAAAGCAAGAGAGGGGAAAATTGCCATTTTTCGCGCAAAAAAGTGAGAACCATTGTAATTTTTCACAATAAAGAGATAAAATTTGAGTATTTCTCGTGGAAAGAAGGCCAGAACATTCAGATTTGCGCTCTTAAGTAGAGCCTACGTGGGTAAAGAGTGTTGCCTCACAGTCAGTCGTAAGCTCGGTCCCTTGTTAATGGGTTTTAAACACCTAGAGGGTTATTACACTCTACTTAACATTCATATCTAAAGCTCAGGCGATCACTCTGTGACAAGATCGTCTGAACAATCTTTGAGAAGATGTCAGTTTAAATTAAGAGATAATTTTATTTAATTTAAATCAAAAGGGACTCCGTAATGAGTATTACCTGAACAAGGTCTTGTGTTGCAAGGAATTTCTTCCACCGCTTCGCCAGGACACTGCTTACCGCCATTGGACGGACGCGGATTAGAACAAGATCTGTAACGACGCTTAACTCCACCTGAACACCTCCTTGAGCATCGGCTAAAACGACCCCACTGAGCCCAATTACCATCAACTGTCACACCATAAATGAATAACGGGGTAAGTTCCCGTAACGAAACCTGTGGTTCAGTGTCGGTGGGGAATATTACATGATAACTTGGTTATATCAAATGAGTTGTTAATGCAAACTGGCCGCCTTAAAACGTTCCTGAAGATGATGTCTCGATTGTTAGCCTTTCGTCAGAGTGACAACTTAAACACATTAAGGTTAATAATGCTTAGAATTTCGGGGTGTATGGCGTCAGGAACGGTAAATGTCTGGGGGGGGGTTACCAAGGGCTGGATCCATGACCCTCTTAAGAACAAGTTTCGTTTATTTTTCTGCAAAGTTTTAAACAGAAAATTGCAAAATCATATTCAAACACATATTTTACGATTTCCGCGCAGCACCTTGCTTCATTATATATAAAGTCTTTGGAGAAAGAAAACAATGACGAAAATAGAGTTAAAGTAATGTTGTGTTAGCTACCTGGGCAGGATGATCTCTCACAGTAATAAATTTCTCTGCTTTCTCCCCGACACCGTGCTCCACCGTGCGCTGGTGGGGGACTGGTACAAGTTCTGGTTCGATACATTACTCCAGATCCACAGGAAACTGAGCATCGTCCCCAGTAACTCCAGAAGGACCAACCACCATCAACTGATTGGGTAATAGTAAATAAAGCGATTGAGAAAAATGCCATTAGGGCTAATAGAGAAAAATGGAGATTGTTCCATTAGAAGTGATGAAAAGCCATTATGTGGCTGTGGGTACCAACGAGTGTCCTTCAGCTTGCATTTTCTATATATACATATTTATGATACTGTTGGAATTGCTTCTCCTTTCAGAATTCAAGACGCACGAACTAAACGTAAGGCAGCCTTAAATTTTCCAGCTACCTGCAATTTAAATCGTAAACATCAATTCTTAGGAAGCACAGCATTCGTTTCGTTGATCCCAAGTTTGATTATTAACACCATCATTACACAGCTCAAGGTTTCTATTATTATCAACTTATTCAAACTATTTACCAGGGCACACTTTATCTTCATTGCAGGATTGTCTTTCCTGTTGGCTCCCAATACACCATGATCCACCATTGGAACGTGGGGGATTGGTGCAAGTACGCAAACGGACCTGTGTTCCTCCTCCACATGATCGTGAACACCTGCTCCATGGTTTCCAGTCAGCCCAGTTGCCGTCGACTGTTTCATCAGGGAAGAGAAAAATCAAAATTTCATCATGTTTTTATCTCCGCTTTTTCATTAAATGGATGGTCCGTTTTGCACAATTGTTGTTGAATACGTGAGACATTGAAAGCTATTACTGTGTACGCTTAGGTAAATATTCTCAAGCGACTACCGGAGTCACTGAGCCAATAACGAAAGACTGACTCATCCTGTCCCAGGAGACGTGAATGAACCGCTCATAAACTCGATGAAAACGTTTTGCTTTGTCCCAACCATTGATTTGCAAATTTCAATTCACTATTAATCATAATTCCGTTCCCGGCTATGATTGGCTAATTTTGTAAACCTCGTAATAGTAGGGTACTGTGACGACTATTTATCCTCGACTAATCACCCTCAGAGTCAGATTTTACTCATAAAAGGTAAAATAAAATCCAGGACTAGTATAAAGGGGGTAAGTTTCTAAAGAAACGGTGATGCTGCGTTGGTGGGGATAATACAAGACAATTTGAGTTTTTTCAGCGCAGTTGTTAAATTTGCGAACGTAAGGATTTTCTAAAATGGAGGTTTCGACTGTTGGCCCTTCGTCAGGCCGAACGATTCGCTCTTACCTGGACACGGCCGTCTGTTGCAAAAGCGAGTCTCCTTGTTCCTTCCTGAACACTGCCTGCCACCATGAAGAGGTGGTGGATTTGTGCAGGTTCGCATTCGGCTCTGATCTCCACCACCACAGCTCTTACTGCATTTGCTCCAGCTTTGCCATCTTGCCCAGTTACCATGAACTGCGAAATGAAAACATAGTAGTTAGATGGCTTGAATAAGGGAACACCAGATTACAGTCTCAGTGCCTTAACCACTCGGCAACACTAGCTTTTAAACTTTAGCCAGTGAAGATTTCGTGGTTGAACGCACCTCTAAGGGCGATAAAAAATACTCATAAGCGACTCATACCATTAGCGAGGTTCTTGTCTTTAACAGAAGCTGCTCGTTCCTGGATAAAATAATAGACATCATTTACTCAGGGAGAATAGAAATAAAGTTTACCTTCGCACGGTTGCTCATTGCATGATTGGACCTGTCGTCTATCTCCGATGCAATTAGCTCCACCATAGGCGGGTGGGGGATTAGAGCAGGATCGTGAACGTACTTGAGTTCCGCCCCCACATCTCACTGGGCATAGGCCCCATGGGTTCCATCTTGCCCACCTTCCATTCACTGTGAGAAGTTTTTTTCATTGACGAAAAGAGAGGTATCAAATAAAATTATTTTAAAAACTAAATATCTGTTTGTGTTTTCATGCAGACGAATACAAGGTAGTGTCTGTACGACCAGAAAATTTAACGTTTACAATGGGAATTTTATTTCAACCGTTCGTATTTCTCCATAATGAGAGCAATTCTTCTTGAAATAATTATCATTTCCATTGTTGAGGAGAAATTCGTCTTTAAAGTAGTGTGTAAGTAAAGAACTTGCATCTTGAGGTGATATCTAATGTCCTTAATCAAGTGAAATTTTGTCATTACTGTATCTAATCTTCCCCGATCTGAACGGGCCACATATCAGCTATGCATTTAAGATGGCCTCCTAAAGCCCGGATTTTCATTATAAATCCCAGCTAAAAGGGTGACTTACCCGGGCAAGGTCCCTTGTTGCAGGACTTGGTTTCATCACTCTTTCCCACGCAGTCTTTACCACCAAAGGTTGGAGGAGGATTGGTACAGGTGCGGGATCGACTCTGAGTTCCTAATGAGCATGACACGCTGCAGGGAGACCAGGGTTTCCATGCAGACCATTTCCCGTCCCCTGAAGAAGGAAAGCCATGGTAAAACATGAAAAATAGTTCATGATTCATGAATGGTGTAAGTGAAAACAAGCCTTTTGGCAAGGTGCATGCAATGTCGCATTGTACTTGTGTTTCTCACGACCCTCGACGCCGACACCTGGGTATGTTAGTGTTAATGCAGAATGTACTTCTACATGAAAAAGAAAAAGAATGAGTAAAAAATAAGATAGAAGAATTCACGGAGAAGAACTAGCAAACGAACAGAAATACCTCTAAACAAGCAACTACTCCATGAACAACCATTCAACAGTAGGGCTGCCGACTAATCACTCGATTAATGCAAGGAGCTAACTTCGCTGCTCCAAAACAAAGATTACCTGTATATTTTGTGGAGTACTGAGTTAAGTGTTTACTTACATTATTTTAAAAGACAATTGTTTTATCATTACCTGGACATGGATTGTCGTTGCATAATCGCGTGCTTCTACTTGGTCCAACACACTGCGCTCCACCAAAGGCCGGTGGAGGATTGGTACAAGTTCTTGAACGGTCTTGCACGCCACCTCCACACGTTAAAGAACAAATGCCCCAGTTTCCCCAAACTGTCCATTTACCGTCCACTACCAAAATGACGAGGAAAAGATCAAGGCGGGTAGGTTGAAAAAAATTGGCAGAGACATATGACATGTAATCTTCTTTTCTATGAATAATTTTAACAAGATGAAACATCACAGAAACAACAAGTCACCCGAAGATCGGTACTGGATCGGTACTGGAATAGGATAAATTAGTTGCATGCAGATATTTGTAGAGAAGCTAAAACACCACCGCGGCTAAAACAATGATATAAATTCTGCAACTAATTTAAGACAATGAGTTTTGGTTATATTTGTTGCTTCTTCAAGGGTATCCTAGAAAATCTGCATTTATCCCTACAGAGAAGGAGTAAAGAGGTCCAAATCTAACCCGGACAATGGTTCTCATTGCAGGATTGAACCTCTTTGCTGGGTCCTTCGCAGTCTGCGCCACCATGTGCTGGAGGAGGATTGGTGCATGATCTGGATCGTTCCTGTTGCCCACCACCACAACTGACTGTACAGGGGCTCCAACTGTCCCAGCCAGTCCACCTGCCATTTACTGAAGGAGATAGAGCGCTTCAGGACACTTCTTCTTTTTACCCGACGTTAAGACTTATTGCAATTTTATCTACCATTCCTAAGCCTTAGAAGATAGCTTTTCCTCGTTTGTTTACCACGTGAATCATGGCAATTTAAGCAGTCCACGAAACGACACGTTACGTCTATAAAATTATCAGCATGCCGTTTGAGAAGAGATGAGTATGCAAAAAAAGGATTTTGGAAGCTCGTAGAAAATAGAGAGCCCATACTCATTGAGAAAAGTAATTTGCTTGAATTTAAAGATCTCGATCATGAAGGAGATGGTTAGCAACATAAAATACTGGTTTTGCTTTTTTTCGCTAACAGGAGTCGTTGAAGCAACAAAATAGTTCGATAAACCGTAAAAAAATGCATATTTTTTCACAGCTTTATATCAAACATCTTTCGACGAGATTTATAGCGAGTAGACTAGAATACAAAACGAACCTTAGTTTTTTCTTTCTCACAGTTAAACAGGGTCGTTAAATGAAGCTGGATTGCTTCCTTCAAATTACCTGGACATGGAAATTGCTGGCAAAATCTGGTCTCCATACTAGAACCGTCACAAGGTCTTCCACCGAAGGCTGGAGAGGGATTGGTACAAGTTCTTTGTCGATCTTGAACTCCACCTCCACATGTCAGAGAACATGAGCCCCACTCTCCGAACAGTGACCATCCTCCGTCGACTATTAGATAACAAAGGAAATACTCGTGATTACATTCCAAATTTTCCAAAAAATTTTCGTACAGCACCTTTGGTCATAGAATTTTAGGTGAATGTGTGTATGGGGTGGTGTTTATGCAAGATCGTGTTTCTTTTCTTACAGTTGTGTAACTTATGTCTGCTGTTACTGTCCATGCGATTATTGTACACCTCATAACGACCTTACGATTCACATGTATTTAAAAGAATTAGGTGTTGACGTGCTTACCTGGACATCGTAGATTATTGCACAGTCGCACTTCACTGCTCCCTCCTGCACAGTATTTTCCATCGTTTTTCGGTGGTGGGTTGGTGCATGTTCTGGAGCGATTTTGTTTTCCACCGGCACAAGAAAGGGTACAAGGGGTAAACTCGCTCCATTCTGACCAGTTTCCGTCAGCTTAATCAAGCGAAAAGAAAATTAGCAAAGTAAGTGGAGGGAAGAGACTAAATGATACCCACCTTTCTATGATTATCACGATATCAGGATGAGGTAGAACAATACCAATTTTAAAAAGCCGGAGGAAATCATTATTGGCAATTGTAAGTTATGAGAACAAGAATGAAATCATGAACGTCTCTTCTAAGTTAAGCACATAATCGATTTCTCAAGCTTCCTTCCCTGTTTTCAAAGTCACCAAATATTTTTCCTTAGAGAAATCGCCACAGAAGATAGGAGAAGATTGATTTTATAAAACCATCCGTTACATATGGCAAATGCGCAAAAGGTAGCAAACTGACAATGATTCTTTCTCTTTTGGTAAGGGTGTGATAATGAATAACATGGAAAAGTACAAGTGGAAGACTGTCAATCGAATTTACCGGGACATCCTCGTTCGTTGCAGGATCTTGAGCGAACGCTTTCCCCTTCGCAGTCGTCTCCTCCAAATGCAGGTGCAGGATTGGTACAAGACCGCTTAGATAACTGAATACCACCACCACATGACACTGGACATGGTTCCCATGTTCCCCACCTTGTCCACCTTCCGTCGACTGCAAATGTTTGTTCATAAGTGATACGTGTCAGAGGCAGCTGAACTCATAACTCTCTGTACTTATCGGTTCATGTCCAAATGTCTAAATTATCAGTTTGCTCCAATAGTTGGTAAAAGGGCTTAATGATAGATAGCGGCGCTGAATAAGCTTGAATGTAACCACTTACAATGAAACAGATGGGGAGAAACACCTTCTGGTTTTCTTGAATAAACCTACAAAGAAATGGTGGTTCTGGTGGTGTTGGTGGCCTTTTCAGTCACCTTTTTATTGTTGATGCAGTTCGTTTGTGTATCTTGAATAATAATTAGCTTCCCCTATCAATATGAAAAAAATATACAGGTAGATTTCGAGAGAAAAAATAAGTATGCATTACTTGGACATGGGTCTTCATTGCAAGAACGCACGTCCTGTCCTACTCCGCTGCAGTCCCGGCCTCCAAATCGTGGCGGTGGATTGGTGCAAGTTCGGAATCGGCTCTGCGTTCCTCCAGCGCACGTGACACTGCATAGCTCCCAATCCCCCCAATCGGTCCACTTTCCATCAACTGTGGAATAAATGAACCCACCGTTGTGATACGTCTGCCTTAACCTTTGGATGGACCATGCGAAAAAAACAACACCAAACACGGAGTACTACACGAAATGCATTCAGGCGGCTCGCTATTGATGACCAGGAGGCATAGCGGTATATTTGAATCAATTACACTCACAAAGCAAAACTCCAATAACACACACACGAACAGCATAATATTTTCATTTTGCAATCTAAATCATTAGAAGTGTGCGCCTTGTTAAACGTAATTACCAGGACACTCCTCTTCGTTGCAGGTTCGAGAACGCCAGCTGTCCCCTTCACAATCTTTTCCTCCAAATTCAGGCGCAGGAGCATTGCATGATCGGCTGGACGCTTGAATTCCACCACCACATGTCATGGAACATTGTTCCCAGTCTCCCCATCTTGTCCACCTACCGTCAACTACACATGTAGTGATAGGGAGACATTAGACTCGCGATATTTTTCAGACTTCAGAGAATGATCAAAGAATAAAGGAGTAAATGTGGAGGAGGTAGACATGTGAGTATTAAGGCTTCGTTTAATTCCTTTTTTCGGAGAGAGTTAAGTACAAATTATTTGACTTATGGATTTAGAAACAAAAAACATTAGGCAATGTTAGAAGAATCGGTCTTGAAATGTAAAAACATGATAGCGTACAGTGAACAGTGATAAATAGAATAGTAAGAAGTATTTACTTGGACATGGGTTGTCGTTACATGAACGCTCCTCGACGTTTTCTCCAACACAGTCACGGCCTCCAAAATGTGGCGAGGGATTGGTGCAAGTCCGAGTTCGGCTTTGCACTCCTCCACCACAAGTCACACTGCAGACCTCCCAGTATCCCCAATCGGTCCAATTTCCATCAACTGTGGAACAAATTACTCATCAGCTGAAAGAACCTTCATCAAAACTTTGAACAGCCCAGGAAGAACACAAAAAACAAATCAACAAAAAAAAGTGCTTTATATTTCCAAAAGAATAGCAGTAAATTTCCGCAATCCATGACCAGGAGACAAGAAGAAACCTCTGATAGACATTTAAGGTGCTCCGGACAAAAAATTGAACATCATTGAGATGTTTCAAACACATCAAACAAAGCATGATTCACTTCGTAACAAGCATCGGGATCGTATTTACCAGGACATTCCATTTCTTTGCACGGCCTTGACCGTACGTTATCTCCCTCACAGTCAGCTCCTCCAAAGGCAGGGGAAGGATTGGTACATGATCGACGGGACAACTGAGTACCATCACCGCACGATTTAGAGCAAGCCTCCCAATCGCTCCATCTTGTCCACCTTCCATCAACTATGCATCCAACAGCATTTCACGTTAGTGGTGGTTATAGTTATTGTGTTATGTTCACTATCACATCATAAAAATGGTGTATGAAAAGATTAACTCGTCTAAAGGTGATAGAAGTGAACTCCAAGAAAAAGGACTTCATATGAATGTGTAAAAGAAAAATGAAAGAGAACGAGGGAAGAGCCACGCTGAAACAGTAACAAGAAGTTATTTACTTGGACACGGTTGGTCGTTACAAGACCGCGTATTTTGACTCTCGCCAGTGCAGTCTCGACCACCAAATTGCGGCGGAGGATTAGTACAGGTCCGACCACGACTCTGTGTTCCTCCACCACACGACACACTGCATTGTCTCCAGTCTTCCCACTGAGTCCAGTTTCCATTAACTGCAGAATAGAAAACCAACCACCTTGAAAGTAGTGTATATGCTTTTTTGTCCTTACACTGTGCCATCCATAGGAGTCACGTGAAAAAAGAAGCATTTTACAGATTTTTTTTGGCCAGATGAACGTCCATCCGACTTCAAACATAAGCAGGAAGCTGATCAAATTTCGTATCCTCGCAATACCTTCTGCCTATTTAGCATATGCTGAGGTAAGGTGTTTTCGTTTTTCATTTTCTCATTTGAAATAGGTAGAAATGACCTCTGACTACAATTGTATCCTGAACCAAATCACTTTGGTTACCTTGATCGTCACTGGACGATCATCATAAAAGTATGTCTAAGTCTAAAGCAGTCTATATCTGCCTATTCTTATCTATGCCTCCTGGTCAAAGGACTATCTTTTATGGTGCGATTAGGAACCAAGACAATCGTCTTGTTACTAAAGAGTAAGTGTGGTCCGCCCAAAAAACTTAAGAAAAGAGGATTTACATGAAAATTGGACGATTCTAGACCGAGGCGACCACTTTTCCAGTAGTCTGGAGGATGTTGAGTTATAGCATCAGTATAGCACGAAAAAGATTCAAAACTAATATAATTTGGGAAACTGAAATGAGCGATCGTGTTCTTATGTTTTCTAATCTATCTTTATTTCATAATCTATGTTCTAATCCATTCGCAATACCGATTTATTGATTGATTGATTGATGAAGAAGCGGTGATGAAAAGAAAAAATTACTCTTTGGCAGTGAAAATAGAAATATTCATGGCTGACCTTTCTTGGATATAAGACTGATGTTTGCATACCTGGACAGGGCTCCTCGTTGCAAGGACGAGTAAGTATGCCTTTCCCGGAGCAATTTTTTCCGCCATGAGAAGGTGGGGGATCTGTGCAGGTTCTATATCGATTCTGTATTCCTCCTCCACACGTCACTGGACATATTTCCCACGGTTTCCACTCGGTCCAGCCCCCATCAACTGTTAAATAAAACACATGACTGTTTCTAAAATGTAGGTTTCACAAGGTCAATCACTTTACTTAAATATAATTCATCGAGACCCTTCCCATTATTCCTCTTTAGTAAGGCTCGGCACGTTAAATCATATCCTTACCGGCGCATGGTAACTCGTTGCATGGACGTGTCTCGTCGCTGGCACCAGGACACTGCCTTCCTCCGTACGCCGGACGAGGATTGTCACAAACCCGATATCTTGTCTGTTGGCCACCACCGCATGGTACTGTGCAGTCACCCCAGCCTCTCCAGTCAGACCATTTTCCATGTACTGTAGTATAGAATTAAGTATTTAATGAGGTAGATCAGGGCTATTACCCTCAAAAGGACGCACATTGACCCTGCGACCCAGAGATGCTGCATTTCAATATGAGCATCACGAAATGTAGCCTAAATTTTTTTGTCGGCCACTTACAATCATTTATAATCTTTGTTATTCCTAACCAATTTTGGTGAATCTTTTTCTACCAAGCAATCGTTTTGCTGTTTTCCTCGCGGAGAAAAAGATTAAAATGATTAAGACGGAGCTCTTTCATGGATTGCCCTTTGCAAAGGATCTGATTATGCAGAGTTTCAAATACGTGACGTAGCTTAATCATTTTCCTATTTCTCTTGAGTCTTGAATGCAATCAGAGAAATCGACAAACTATCGGGTGGCAATTGTTAAAAGACAAAATTGGCATCTAGCAAGAATTTCCATTATAAGTGATTTTTGACTTATTTGAACGTGAAAATAAATTAAAATAATATATTAGCACAAACCACTCAGTAAAAATTATAATAAGCCAGTTTATAATTACATATTCCTTTTGACGGTCTTATCTTACAGGCATAATTTAGCACGCTCGACACCTCTTTTACTTAGAGGTGACTTTAAGTGTAAACATATAGTACTTTTCATCTTCCGCACTGAATTTGTAATCAGATAACTTATACGACTAGCATGTAGCTCTTTAGGGGCGGTACCTTGGGTACGCCCTTTCTTGTCCGAATTTTGTGATTATTCTGCTGTTATGCAACAGTCTTCAAGGACTATTTTCTCTTAAGATATTTTTTCAAGTATGATTTTAATTCTGTCAGTAAGTTTATTATAATTTTTATATTATCAAGCTTGTTTTTGTTTTACCCGAACTTGACCATAAGACCAAGAGATTTAAGTTAGAAAGACATTTCGTAAAACGTAAACATCGCGAAGGTATCCACTTAGTATGCGTACTCCGCTCTGCATAATTTAGCGTGATTCGCTATTTAAGTGTAAAAGCATGACGAAGGTTAGAGATTGACAGCTCAGTAAGTGTCACCTTTGTAAGTGGTGACCCACACTTCCCTAGAGAGATCAAACCTAGTCCTCGTTGTAATAACTTGAGTAATAAAAGAGGGAATAAAAGAAATAGTCAACTGAACGACGAGTGTCAGGAAATTATTTCTAACACAATTATAAAGAAACAGAAATGGTAACGGACAAAATTTCTCAAAATACTTCTGTTTTGATCTGCATGTTTCCCAGAGTTAACTAGACTAAGTTTGTTGATTTTTTATGCTTTTTGATAGAGTTGTCTTCCTCAAACCCTATTTTTTACGCATTATTCTGGATACGTTTGCCTTTTAATTGCATCAACGAAGGAAATAACTTCACCTTAAAAAAGGGTGTGGCCAATATTGAAAGGGACACCATACCTGGACAGTTTCTTTCAGTCAGCTCTGTAACCAAATTTTTAAGCTCTTTAAAATCTGCAGCTGAGTACACATCCTCATCCGTGGAAGCAAGTGTCAAAAGGTCAAACAGCAGGGTACCTGTTCCAATACCCAGAGAAATCACACGAATGCCTTTGTCTTTCAGAGGTTGAACAGCGTCATGGAGAATGTCGGAGGAAAGAGATCCTTCATCCACCGTCTGTCTTCCATCGGTCATTACCAGAACGATCTATACAAAAATAGGAGACGATTATGTCAAGAGTTAAAGAAGTATGCTCTACACTCCATCTTTTTTAAATTTTCTAAAAACGTTTTTTTGTCAATAATGACGATAGTCACTTCGAGAAAACTAAGAACACCGCCATTTTAAACCTTGCACCTTGCTTTACAACCTGATCAAGACATTATTTTTGCCATCCCTTGTCGATCCGTCTGGACAACGAGGAGCCACAAAAAGGCAGTCTTGACTCAAATAAAGGTTTTTTTTTCGCGATACGTAGTCTTACAGCGACTTGAGAACAGTGAGCAGTCCTTTTGAGTGTGCGCCAAGTTTACTCAGTTGTTATCGAAATGACGGTCTCCACTGTTAAAGTTTTATAAACATACGTAAAGACACTTTTCTATAAGGTAAGGTGGATCTCTGGGTCCTCAACATGCCGTAAGTGGTAAAGTTTTATGTAACACAGAAATCGTGAAAATACGAATTGTATCGTTATAACTTATATACTTCTCCTTTAATCTCTATAAAAAAAATTTTTAAAAAAACTGGGGATGAGTTCTAAAATGACAAATTAGCTTCAATTTAAAAAGAAAGATTAATTTTTAACTGATGCAACCTCATTTATTCAATATCTCCATTGATGCGTCGATCAACTCGAAACCTCAACATCCCCCTGGCACCACCCCGGGCACCCACCTCGCATCAGAACTTTTAAAGATTGGTTTGTTCAAATTTCTGCCTCCGGGGCAAAAATTGTTTTTTTTTCTTTTGTTTTCTGTTTTTGGTTTTTTTTTCGTAAAAAGGAAAATTCAGCAAAAAGTAGCAAAAAGAACCACAAAAAATACATTGAAAAAACTTAAAACTTAGACCTTTCAGATCTTTTTTTCTGAGCCATTCACTTGTGAAAGTGATCTTTTTACGTTTTAAAAATTTTAAAGATATAGCACTTGTATGCCGCTGGAAAAACGACCCTTTCTTTTCAAATAACCCAACCGCGCCGGGAAACGTTCAAATAATCCACCCTTCCAGGCACGGACGACAGTCAGGGAAAGAAATATTATAAGAATTGACGGTAAGGTGAATTACGAATGAAATCTTGGAGGGCCGGTTCATTAAACAAACTTTACCCCTAGTTTAACGTTCTAAAATATTTTGAATTTAGGTGAATCTTTTATCTGAACATTTATTTTTGTTACCTGTGTCAAAAGGGCCGAAAGCTAGCAGTGTAAAGACATTTATTTCGTGAAAACATCCCTCTTATAGAGAAGACGTGCGGCCCACTGCTTGCGTAAAACCGCGGTTGGGGTGAAACCTCCTGTAAATGTCCGGCCTTTAGGGTCTAAACCTATTTTAAGGAAGGAAAAATTTCCCCTTTTGGTCATGATTCTCATGACTTTCAATCAACTTTACCTTGATTCTTTCCGGCGACAGCCCTTTAGTGATAAACTTTCATGTTCTCAACTCCGATTACGCTTGGAGCAGTGAAATCCAAATCAAAACCGGTCATTAATCTTTAAGTACAAAAAAACTACCCAGCAGTCCTTTTCCTTTTCTTACCTTTGTAACATTTGGTCTCATTCCATCTTTTACAGAAAACACCTCCGTGTTTGTCAAATGCAGACCCTTATCTATGTAGGTATATCCACGCTGATGGGGAAGCTTACGGGCTTGTCGTTTTAGATTAACTGCATTCAGCTGGACTCCGGTGAAACTATTAAATTTTAACACGACAGACGCTGTACTGCTGTATTCTACTATAGCAACATGGGTTCCTTCTTCTGATATGTCGAAACCATCGATCATCTGCTCGATGAACTCTCTCTGCCTTACGAAGTTCCGTCTACTGATGCTGCCGGAAGTATCAACCACGAAAGCGAAGTCTAAGGGTTCGGGGCAGCCCTCTGCATTGAAATATTGAATCAATCTTTAGCAAGGGATTCAGTAAGAACTGAATCATCTGGTGAAATTGGAGACTGACAACAGAATTACTGAAGTTGCCAGTAGCTCAGAGGCAAAGTTGTTAAGGACAATAAACCAAGAAGGCTGTTACGGAAATATGTATTGTTGTTTCCGTGTGATTTTCGGAACAAATTTACTACTTACTTTTCCAGTGTTTTAGCCTCTCAAAATTCGTAATTTCTCTCTATCACCAACTAGCGATAATCGCCATTTTTTAGTACAACTGTACATCGGTGCTTTTTTTTCCACTATCAATGTGTCAACGTGCAGGTCATGAAACGCAACTTACTGATAGCTTTTCAATCTTTTTAAAATATTTAATTTAAAGGAGCTCAAACGAATCGCGAGCCTCTTAAATGGAGACAAAGTAAGGAGTATACATGTTCCAAAAAACAAACACGGAAAAATCATTAAATATTTTCGTTATGAGGTCGACAACTGGTCTTCAAAGGTTCTCACAAGAATTGGTCTCACTCCCAACCTGCTCGCACGCTTCGTACAAATACAAGAACACTTCAAATACTGGGCAGACACGAAAATTTATCGGAACGAGCTAAGAAGTGGACCTCGTATTATTTTTCTTTTTGATCAGGTGCAGTTTGCTGTATTCCTTAACAATTATACCGACATACAGTCCCCCTAACAATCCGTGTCCCCCTAACAATCCATGTTGGATCTTCACTTACCGAGTTCTCGTGGTTTAATACACCGAAGAGAGCAGCCATTATCTCTAGAAGATGGACAACATTTCAGTCCATTTGAGCAAGCTTCGTCTGACGAGCAGCGATTGTAAACTCTTTCGCAATCGTTGTATGCAATCGAAACTGCAGGGCACGTTGACCTTGCTTCAAGAAAGAAATAAAAGAACACAAGTAAGATAAGACAAAATCACCCATCACGTCAGTTTGACTTACATTAGCCTTGTGCCAAATCACTTCATCAGAATTTTCTTGCCCATCAACCACAGTTACGCTATGGACTAGGAATGCCACCAAACTCCCCAAACAATCACTTAACTCCATAAAAATCGCCAATTGGCGAAGAAGGGTATAAACACGCTACTAAATGAAAGTAAATTTTACCATTGTCTGCCTGAGAATTGGTACTCAAACGACCCTTTTAATTTTTTTTCGAACGACTTCTTATGGTTGCAATCAACGAGAAGAAGGAAAAATAGGAAAAACGAAACTGTCATTGTTACGGAATAGTTCCTTTCTATAAAGGCTCAATCTCATCGCGATCTCTTTTGAAGAAACACAGTGGCTCCGTAGTATCTAAGAATTTAGATTTGACATTTTGTTATTTTAAAGATTCCGATGTTTTTTCAGTGACTTTTTTTAGGGGTCACAGAGCAAAAGATAAAACTGCTCACAAAAATAATATCCACATGTTTGTTTGTTGTTGTTGTTTTTTGTTCGTTCGTTTGTTTTTGCCGTTTTCTTTACCAAACTTCAACTAAATTGAGTTAGGCCTATCTAATCACCCACATCCGTAAATTTTTTATGTATCGCCTTTCAACCTCTCCAACCGCTCAACATCCGGTGGTCTTCAAAGAAAACCAAATATGCTTTCGCCGTTTGATTTTCAGCTGCATTGCTTTAGATAATCGGTAATACTTTCGATGTGTAGTTGGCGTGTTTGACTGAGCACGCCCCTTGGCTCTCATTGTTATTCCTGAATGTCCCATAATAAACGCGAAGCAGTTTGATATCTTTTTCCTTTAAAAGTTAAATTTGGAGACTAACGACATCGCCTGTTTAAACCAGTGAATTACTTTTGTTTTATTTTATCTTAACAACGAAACTGCATTTAGGGTGAGGGCATATCACATGATTCCAATCTGTGATAGTTGTGAGTCACATGATGTAATAGCAATTCTATGAAAAGTAATCAGGTGTAAAGAAAGTTAACAAACCCTTTCGGCAGACGGCATGTTTAAGAAACGTTAATGGTTTGACTTTTGCAATCAGGTGACCTCTCGCGCGTGATATCACGTAGTGATCTCAAAGTCTCACACAAATGGCAATTCAGAGCTATTTTCGGCTAACTTTCAATCCGCCCCAGAACAAGTTGTTCGAACTATTTCCGCTATTGTGACGATCTGAAAAAGTCTTAAGTTCAAATGTTGAGCGCTGTGCAAGCTAGGCAAAACGTGTGCGCCCTTAGATCCTACAATTGTGTAGCTTCTCATTCGTAAGGGGTCTGGTTACTGCGCGCGTAATGTAAAATTCTCACAGTAAAAGCGGCATATAACTGTCTAGACCCACTAGACATTTATTACTTCTATTTTTACTAACAAAAAAAAATAATGCGGCGGTTTCCTTTTTATAACAAAACAGCACGTACTTTTCGACTTACAAAGCCAAAAGAGGAATTTCACAAATTTTTTTTTGATAGAACGCATTCCAGGGTAAGCACCTCTCCAAATTCGAATGTTTTAAGTCTTTCAAGCCGCGACTTGATTTCTCATCCCGAGTTTGGAATATTTGGTTATCTCCGTATCAAAGTTCTACATTTTTTTGGATAAATGGTGTTATTTCTAGCCTTATGACTCTAGAAGAGTATTTATCTTAGCACTAAGACATCTTAGCCTTATCATTCGGTCTCTTCTTAAGCGTCTTTCAACTGTTAAGTTCAAACATTCCTCACGTAATACTTCTTCCCCTGCTGGAGAGAAGATTGGCAAGAACTCTGACTCTGGGTGAAGGTGATAACAATTTTCTCACTGATGAAATTTGTTCCAAATAAGAATAAAAGAAAAAATGTATAATTGAAGGTTTTCATGTCACTCCAGACTATGGCCTTTACAGAGTCGAATACCCAGGCCACTTAGTTCTAAATTAGCAAAGAAGTTGATCTTCACTTTTAACGTAAACAATGATAACCATGTAGTAACTTTAACATTCAGATGTCCGATTCAACAAACGCCTCACAAATGAATTTCACGGAGTTGGAAGCGTTTTTCTCCAACAACAAAAAAAGAGAAAAAAAGGAACAAAAAGAACCTGTTAAAAAACTACTCTCATCACAATTACGGGTAAGTCGCCGGCCTCAGGCCTTCGATATTCAGTTTTAGTGTCGGAGGACATGTACAGCATAAACTTCATCAATATTATCAACGTAAATTATAGCACTTTTTTAGAAACAACGGATCAGTATAAACACTGGGTTATAACGTAGGTCTTTTAAGATCTCTTAGTTTGACCTGGCACGTAAACAAGTTACGATTACACGGATATTTTCAAATCTTGTTTCTAAGAAAATTTAAGGTTCAGTCAACCACAGATACTTACAATACCCAACTGTGGCTCGTGCCTCGAGCAAGATAAACAGGACGGAACAAACTCCAAAAATCTCCTTTAAAAGTGCCATGTTTCCCTCTGCTTCGTCGTAGGCCTACCTTTGGCCACGAAAATATTGCTTCCCTGAAGATTAGAAGGTATTATATAGATATCAGCATGCAAGATCGTGAAATGTCAGCATCGACAGTGACGGAAACGCCCACTCAACTTGGTGTTTGTGTAACCGATTAATTAGAAAACAACTGACTTGACTGCGTAGGAGGTCATTTGTCAGCCTCTTTTCGTGATCTTCTCGTTAACTTGAGATTAATTTAATGATCTTATCTTTTTTTTGCATTTCTTTGGACAAACGATACTGACGAGTCATCTCCTGAAGCTTTGATCCAAAATAACCTAACTAGAAAGTTCCATTAAAATTAAATGTGAGACCCTTCACCCATGATAGAAGGGCATCTTCCCCGTAATGAGATCATCGTGATATGTTGACAACAAAGACCCTTTTCCTTGGATGACTCGTTTACACTATGCTTAAAATGAATATGTTGTAAGGAATGTATACTTGCGACATATTATTATCAGATCTAATGGTCAGACTCTTTCGAGGTTAGCCAGCCATCAGAGAGACAATCGTAGAGATGTTACCCGCTGTGACTCGACGATTTTTTTTTATGATATAATCCATATGGACACATCCAGGAGTACTGGCGACTAAATCGATACTTTTCTCTAAACGTTTACAATCACTTTAGTACTACTAGCAATGGTCATGGTCTACATACGTTTAATAGGAATTTAATTTTGCTTAGCCTGCATGATAAGTGCATACGACATGCACTTCAAGGTTTACACGGTGCCGCAAACTCTCCATGATTTTTCTGAGCAAGCAAATATGTACTTGATCGACAGAATCTTCTTTATGATCACAGCCATTTATAATATGATCGATCCAGCCTTGTGTTGTAGTGTGACTCGAGTTTGAATGTTTTTCACTTTTTGGCTCTTTTTTTGTACCTGTGATGAGCATTTAAAGCGTTTTATGGTTTAATGAGGGCTCTTGAATTTCAAGGGTGCATCCAATAATGTGATCGACTTGCTTATTGACAGATTTATAATGAAAAATATCAAAGAAAATGTAACTTGTAGAAAATTCTGCATACCTGACCTGGGCCTGACGCCAGTCGGAAGTGTGGGTTACCCTCGATGTTACAATCATAACTAAATGGACAATTCTTAGCCAACAGACAAAGGCGGTTTTTGGTGCCTAATTTGTAGTTGGTCACTGTCTGGACCAGAGGCAACAACAAATCCTTAAAAATCTGGGCTGTTACAAGTACGAAAAAGGCTTTTCAAGTCACTGATCACGAAATAACTACGATTTTATGGAACATCTTTAATTAACCTCCTGAACACATTATTGCGTGCAGCGCCAATTCTGGATCGAGCACATCATTTTAAGTATTAAAACGAAGCCGACAAACTGTTTCAATTTTGTTGTTGTTGATTAGCTTGGCTCGTTGACGAGGGTCGATTAAGCAGAGTTTCCTAATTACAGAAATTAACTTAAATAGTTCCTTACACGCGGGAGACATGGCAATGTGCTTCACAATAAGTCTTTTCAAGAGTCTCCACTAAACTGCACAGGCTCAGTTTCAGTTATCTCACCCAAACCAAGTTAGGATTAAGATATTTTTCACCGAGATCTCATGATGGGAAATTTTTTATAAGAAGAGCCTCGCTCTATTACCCAGACGTAGCTTAAAATCCCCGCCTTATTCATCTCGTAACCAGGAGAAAAATCCCATTACGAACAGAAGACAAATTTCATATGATCACGTCCTAATTTCTAGAACTCTTAAATCTTACTTCGATCATGACTCATGCTTGAGCTTACGCACGCCTTCCGCCGGATTTCGCGTCCCGTTCCTTGAAGGAAATCATCAAGGACCCACGTTCCCTATTAAATTATTTACTTTATCATTTATTTTGCATGACTGAACCATTTGCTCCAGGCTCCGATAAATTTAAATTGGCTTGGGAACAATGCTCTACCTCATAATCAAGTGGCGGAAATTGCTTTATCAGCCTATTATTAATTGAAGGACTAACCACGTGTATGATGCACACGCGTTTTCGGCAAAGGGGATACCATGAGTTTTCACAACATCGATCCTTCGCGCGTCAACTATTCTTGGATGTTAGATTATCATTCCACCTCAATGACCTGACTTTGGGAGACCATCGAAATAACTTAACCAAGTATTATATCATAAGAGTGACCTGCACATTCCTCGTAGCATCTGAATTGACAAAACTATTGTCAGCTCATCAGTTGTTCCTAATCTTAATTATTTTCAAGGGCTTTGAGATATTTATTCGTTAAAGCCGTTAACATTTCCTATCACTTAATAGGCTTGTCATTTTACACCTCCCAGACGACAATTGCGTTTTTTGTGAGCAACCATACTGTTCGACTCTATTTTGTTTCATACAGTGTACTTTCAAAATAGCTGATAAATCAAGCAAAGTGAACAAGGTTACTTCCAGTCAAGTCATATTTCATTGACTTCCAACCATCGACCAATGATCTTTCTTGATCTTTGCATATTTTTCATTCTAAAGAAGAAACTAATTAGGCTAACTGACGCCATTTTCCCGACAGTGCGTTCCGTGACCTTACCCAGTTTTACGTTTAAGTAATTTTAAGCTTATATATCAAAAACAAACGACTGTCAGAATTCTTTATATATATAGATATAAAACTGTTAGTCCTTGTAATCTTTTCATGACAGCGCCCATTCTTTAGCGCTGGAGCTCTACAATTAACTTATCTGGATCCACTTTGTGGCAGAATCGCCAACACACGCGAGGTAACATTCAGGTGAGCTCTCAAAGACGTTCCGGGCTCATTAAAGTACTGTGGAGTATTATCCACCGACCCCGCCATTTCAACATAATATTTTTCTTGGCTGACATAGTATGACCCACCCAAAGGAAGCTCAACTGAGATGCATCTGATCTTAAGCTGCACCGGAAATATTGTCCAAATTGTAAACTGTTTGTGGTAATCCACTCTTGTCACAGCACGGAAACCATATTCAAGGAAGACTATTTATAAACTTTTGCGAATGAAATACTTAATCAATCCGTTCAGCAAGCGGAAGAGCTCATGTTTTGAAGATTTCAAACGCCGCATATAGCTCACGATGGGCTCATATGTAATGTTTAAAGTCCTTGAAGAGGAAAAACTATCGTAACAGTGTTTCAAGCAGTAAGAGGAATCGAGCAAAAGGCAAGCAAAAACCTTAACTAAATGTTGGAGAAAGTTTACAGACATGTCAAATTTCCAAAATAATTTGAGCTTCTTTGGGTTAAAACAACACTTACTTTAGATGAGGATTATGAGGGCAACATGGCATTCCACGCGCTCTAATTCTCCCGCTGTCTTCCGTCCGCAAGTTCAGTGACATCATAGGGGCAAACCGTTCATTCCATTCCAGCCATTTTTTGACGTAAAAAGGGGAGTGTAAGACATCCAGGAAATTAAAGCAAAACCCTGAGCACGTTCATAAAATCAATCTTAAAAGGTTCCAAGGGTATATTAACCCTTTTACCCCTAAGAGAGATTAGCACCTAATTTCTCCTTACAATATCATCCCCGAATCACACATTTAGGTTACGAGAATAAATGAAATGATCAGCAACTTAAGAAGCTCGTGATTGTTAAACAAATTCTCCTTGTCAGCACCCTAAGAAATGTATAGAGCATAGTATGGAGAGTTTGCATACTGATGTTAGGGTGTAAAGGGTTAATTAGATTGCTGCACCACCATCCTGGCACACTTAGCGCAGAGTAAGATTCAAGTTTGCCAACGAATTTACATTTGATACATTCTCGAAACTCGGCCAGAGCAGGAGTTTTTTGGTCGATAACATATCCTTGAGACAAATTAATTAATTCTCAGGTCCAACCCTTTACTTCCACGAGTGACAGAAAAGAAACTGCTCTTTCCAATATCAACCCAGCTGCAAATGTGACGATAAGGAAAAAAAAGGTAATAATGGCTCAGGGACATATTTTGATTTCACCCAAATAAGGAATGCTTGTCAAAAAATGTAGAGTATGGATGATTAGACCTTGGTAGTGAGACGATTAACATATAAATATGTTTGTCCCAAGATAATTTGGCTTATTGAGCATCCGCATCTAGGCAAATATAATCCTTTTGTCCTTTAGAGCGACTCACATAAAGCTGATAAGTTGCGCGCGACTGAGACTACAATAACCATGATTAAAACGTGTCAGGTACGACTATTTCCAGTTTTCACTAACCCATCCTTATCTGTTTTTGTTTGCTTTTACTAGGAATGTATATTATTTATCATCTTAATTACTTTTCACTAAACAAATCTCTATTTTGACAGTCTTCAATGTGACCTTCCTCAAAATCCGCTGAATTCATAGGCTTTAAGTTTAGTAAAGAGGTATGCTCTATAAACCAAAATACTTTTATATCCACCATTAAAAGTAAACATGGAATTTAAGCACAGTTGCTCTTAGTTACTTTAAAAGGCAGCGTGCCATAATTTAAGGGAAACGTCTTAATGGCGGAAATAAAAATAATAAAGTTTAAGAGACATACCACTCCTTTGAAATGAGAGAATAAGGGAAGGTTCAGATGAAAGGTAAAGGACTACAAGAGGATTTTTTACTTCACTATAATTTAAATAATAAAGCGTATGATTAGTACAACACAAAGATTTCCGTTAAAAATTCAGTCTTTAGATTACAACGTACTATACTAAGATGATGACATCGAATAAGGAAATGTTTTTAAAAAGCTACTAGGGTGATAGCCCAGCTGTTATGTCTTTGACTTAAGAGAAGTAAAATACTAGAGGGAGTCCAGATCCATAACTTTAATACATAAAACACACGGGTCCAATCTCAAGACGGAAAGGCCCTGTTGATTCACTGACGTAAGTTCGGGCAAAGTCCACTATTGGTAAAGCACCTGTGCGTTTTGTATTGATTTCCATAACTGCTTGACGACCCGAGAGCTCGTTCTCCTAAACAAACAAACGAATAAATAATAATAAATAAATCGAAAAGTATAGGATGTAAGAAAAAAGGAAGGCAAAGGGGACAAAGGCACGAAGAAACAAGGGAATGAAGAAACGAGGTAAAAAGGAACGAATGAACTAAGCACCGGCGCAAAGAAGCACCGAAACATCGAAGGAACGAAGGAACGAAGGAACGAAGGAAAAAAGGAACGAGAGAACGAAAGAACGAAGGAACGAAAAACGAAAAAACGACGTAAAGAAGGAGCGAAGGCACAATGGTATCATGGCACGAAGGAGAGACGAAACGAAGGAATGGAGGGACAAAGGGTCGAAGCTTCGAGCCCACAAACGCACGAAGGCGAGAGAAGAGAAATAAACATGGACGAAGAGAAACGAAGGAATGGAAAAACTGATGATTCATCCAAACCTTGGAATCTGTGGAAACAAAGCTGGGCTTAGTTCGCTCTGATGATCTGAATTCCATTTCATTTTCTCCTTGAAGTTCAATGGTGCAGTCGTTATCATTTTCTCTGAAGCACGAATACGTTATGTTCTGATACACTCCTTTGCTCAAGAGTCTTAGAAAATTAATTTGGCCAGTCGTTGCCTTGTATTCAAACTGTGGAGAAAAAAAACAGAATTAACGCAGTTTTAAGAAACCATATCTCCAATCATTCATTTCATTTTCCCACCACCGGTATCCCGACAAAGAAATATTGCAAGCACAGTGTGGTCGGGCAGAGGGGATTTCATATTCCGTACCTTCTCTAGGGAATTCGTTCCTTGCATTGCCTGAAATCAAAACGTACTTATCTAACCTGAGCTGATTCCTCGATGAACCCAGAGTCCTGTTCACATTTGGCAAATCAACTTACCGTTTCTGTTTGAAGGTTGACTTCGCTTATCCACTGATTGGCAGAGAGGGTCGGAATCGTGATCTAAGAGAGAGAAGGAGTGTGATAATTTACAAACCTAAAAACGAGTGTCGATAATACTGAGCATTTCACACATATTGCAAACATTTCAAAGAGCCGTTTCAGTTCTTTCACTCCACCCAAAGATGGGAAGGTGTTTGATCTCGTGCGACATCGTCCATAAAGAGAGTTAGTTGTAACATTTTCATGAAAATAATCTAGGGAGACCAAACAATAAAGAGGCGTTCAAAGTGTAGGAAGAGTTCCAACCTTATGGTTTTTAGGCTCTATGCAGTTGACTTGCTCCTCAAAGTCGCAATAAACCTGAACCGCATCATCAATACAACCCTCGTTTGGATCAATCCAGTATCTTCCTAGAATAGAGACATTAGTCAGATCCCAAGCCCTTTCAAAATGTTTCCATTGAGGAAGTTTTGTTGATGACAAAGTTGGACTTGTGTGAGAGAAAACTAAATATGATCTCAGGTCAATTTTTACATACCACTTAGATACTCGGGATAATCAAGATGAAGCTCTCGACATGAACGTGCAGGGTATCGCCTGGTGCCGTTTTGTGTTCTGAAATTCTCGACGACATAGCTAAGAGCAGTCAGGTAGTAATCTATTGCTTGTGACATCTAAAAAAAACTATGATCATTAATTTTGAAAAAAGCATGATTTTAAGTGCAAATATTAAAAATATAATTTTGGGTAAGAAAGTCACCCACGTCTAACTGCAGTTGATCCTCAACGGTGTTGGTTTCTTTGTCTCTCCCCTTTATAGAGAAAAACGGGGAAAAAACAGATACAATCATTTCCTTTATGTTAATAACAATAAGTGCACGCAAATTATAGGTAACAAATTATCTTTCTTGATAGACTGAACAGAAAGAGGTAAC